TAGCTTTAAAATATTATCAACAAAAAATCTTCAACTTCAGCACTGTTTTGAAAGTATTTCAATGTTATTCATAAGCTATTCAATTTATCATAAACATCAAATTGGTTAGCTGAGTCTTTTGGGTTCTAGATCTGTATGTGAAATCCTAGAGCAACCATGAATTGGGATGCCAAAGAAGAGGTGGCTCCACATTTCTGGCACCACTGTGCAATGTGTTCTGTTTACTGGCCGCGGGTGCTTTTTACGCTTTTGAACCGCTTAATAATAATACAAAAAAAAAAAAAAGAAAAGGGGAAAAAAACACATACACACAACATAGCAACAACAAGAAGAACAACAAAACGAGACCGTGTTATTCAGTTCACGACCTTGCGACCGCTTCCAATGATGTGCTGGGGTAATCTTGGCGTTTAGGCGTGAGTGTCTGCAAATTTGTGTCGATGTCGATGTCGATGTCATGCCCCCGGGCTAGTCTTATGCAATGGACTTAGAGATGTGCCCGCATATGTAGCGACTTAATTACTTCCTTTCAAAATGCTGCACAGCCAAACACAAACACGCACACGCATGCACATACATATGTGTATGTAGATATCTGCGTATATGTATATGGATATATATCTAACCAACTTTATAATGTAGCGCGTGTAGCCGTTTGGGTTAGTGAAGCGCACTCACTTAGCATTTTTGCGCTTGTCAAGCTCCACCACCCACTTGGTGGCACAAAAATTGCTTGATTCGCAAAATAATAGTTACATGTACTATGCACACACTTGTCTACCAGCCCACACACACACACACACACACACTGATACAGAGACAGGAACGAGTGCTCAAACAGCCCACAGCGAGACGGCTTAAACTGCAGCAGGGCGCACAATGGCTTTGCTCGAAACTGAGTTTGGCTTTTGGCATTCGTTTGCCCGGGAGTTTGACTGAAAGCAATGTGTTAATTGAATCTGAGTGTGAGCTCTGAGCGTAGGTATGCGCCGAGATAAAGAGATACGTCTCGCCTGGCAGGCAATCAACTTGAGCACACTGTATTGCATTATAGTTGAGCTGATGCCCTGCCGTGCGGTCCCCCGGCTCGGACCACTTGACCGCGTCTGACAGCTATGCAGCTGGCTGTTGGCCGGGTGCTCTAGGCGGCCCTAAGTGCCCCGAGCGTGCAGTGTGCAGGGGTGCGATTGAGTGATTGAACGGCTGGCTGCATATAGGCAAGCAGGCGAACAGGCGAACAGGCGAACAGGCGAACCGGCAATGCACTGAATACGACATTAGGTCAATTACTTACCTAGCTAATATCCGCAGCATAATCATTGCACTGGCTGCACGTGTCGCGCCTCTTGAACAGCCCAACAATGGTGTCTTACCAGCCAAGCAACAAGCTATCCATCAAAGTCGAGTTCGCAGTCCGCTAATTGAAAATCGCCTATTGATGATGCGCGCTGGGCAGAAACGTTGCGCTCGTCGCTGTTGCACGCTCGCCGTCTAAATCCCAACAAGGCGGCTGAGACAAGCCTAAGTCGGCTCTGGCTTGGCACACGGACGGCCAATGGGTCTGGCATGCGCAAAGCATCCATCAAACCCAACACTTTGCTTGCAACATGCAACGCGACCTGTGGCCAATACCTGCCACTGCTGCCACCGCTGCCACTGCAGCTGCTGCTCGGCCTCGGCAAGGATCCCCTCGCAGAGCGCCCCCAACAACCACGCACCATGCGACCATTGCCTGAGCATTATTTATTTATAAACGCATTGCCACTTATTGCTTAGCCAAGTTAGCAGGTAATTGTGCAATTATATTCGCTCATAAAATGTTTTTCTTTAAATATTCATTCGCATTCGAGGTGAAATTTATCAAATGTCATTTAATTTTTGATTTATTTTATTCAATTTAATACATATTTAAAATCTTCCTTAAAATATAAATTTTAGTTGTAAACGAATTTCGATTTATTTTATTCATTTATTTATTCAAAACGAAAAAAAAAAACAAAAAACGGTCAACTCGCTTTGGCGCTCACATTGCTGGCCTCATCGATAGGCGTCACTGGAAAGGTATCGATATTTAACAGCTAAAATTCAAATAACGGTAAATGCGCATACCGAAAATGGCGATCAGCATGACTAAACTGTACTTGCTTAAAATTTCAATCACTTGGAATTGGAATTATTTTTTGCCTATTTTATTTATGCCTTAAGCTAAGACAAAGCAAATAACGGGAGAATGCAATTATCGAGAGCATTATATTTATTTCAGTTATTTTATTTGACATGTGAGGGGTCGCTTCGTTTGTTGCATGTGCTCAAATCATATTAGATGACAGTATGGAATCATTTAAAGTCCAGCTTAATGATATTTTCTGATATAAACTACAAAGAATTAAGCTTCGATTAGCTTTAGGCACATCGAGTGATTTTTGATTTCAAACCTCTCAATTTATATGTAATTGATGGCATTTTATATATTATAAAGTTTCGAGCTTCAATTCCATCGCGTTCATTATAGGACAAACACATTTACTTCCCTGTAAGCAATGCCCAAAATTTTTATGGTGAACTTACATAGCTAAATGCTAATTTTATGGTTATACACCTGTCAATTTCCACTCTAGAGTTGGTTATACTTATTGTAATACCCTTTAGGTAACCTACCCGAATACCCATTTCGCTTTTTATTTAAAAGACTCTTTTGTGTTGTGCATATAAATACTTGTCAATTTATTCAATAAAATGTAAAATCTGTATATGATCTACTGAAGGATTTGATTCATCATCTTCTGCAACATCATCGCATTACTTAACAGATATGGAGAGGGACGATGTGCGGAAAAGTCTGTCCTAGGCGCGTTGCGTTGAGGGACTTCAACAGAAATACGATTTCGTCATCGGCAAACGAAGTTCGAATCAAGTATTTAGACATCAAGTATTTAGACAATGTTCTCTTGGCAGCTCTGCAGTGCTGAAATAGACCAACTCAATTTCGACCCCAAAGAAAATATTCGAATTCACCCCCAGAACTAAAAGAGAATGAAATACCAATTCCACATCGAGAACAATTGAAAACTATTTGGGAAAGTTGTAGCAAATAATGCATTCTATTCTTATTCTTATCACATCAAAGTCAAAATGCTCAACCAAATTATAGACGAATTGCATTTTTTGTTTTGTTTTTGTTTTGTTTTTGTTTTGTGTTGTTTTTGTTCTTGAGGTGCAGCTGCCGAAGCTCGTGCTTAGAGATAGATTTTAGCCCAGCATCAACTGCGAAATGGGAATAGCTTAGCGATAGTATCTGAAAGTAGAACAAAATATGGCATTAGCATAGCCAAATTGTGAAAGTCGTGCAATTGCACTATATTAACTATAGCCCTGTGTCTGAGCTCAACCCTGAACTGAAGCCAAATCATAGCTCGTCGTTTAGCCCGTTGATAATAATTTACTGTCTGGCGCGGCAGGTTGAAGCCAAGCTATGCCAATCCAATCGGCGATTGCTACAAATTTCAGCTAGTTTCAATCTGAGCTCAGCCTTGATACGAATGCGAATGCGAATGCGAATGCGAATGCGAAAATGTGATCAAGCTGGATGCCAATTGTAGAACTTCGTCTTTATATACACAAATATATATAAATATATATAAATCTGTTTCATTTTGCCAGCAAAATTTTATTTAAAAATTTTTA